TATGCCTTGATCGCTGCATGGCCATGGAATGGCAGATTTGGATATCGTTGTTATGACACCATGTATGTCAAGGGGACCCTGAAAAAACTTCTCGAAAAAGTCTCCGTCTTCGCGGGTAAAAGATCATCTTCGTGTAGCTCAGAAACGAGAGGGCTAAGGACTTCAGAAGGAAAGAGCTGTGAATTGCGCCTTGTTTTCTTCAAGATGGCTTTTTCAGTTAAGAACCCCATAGAAATGTGGAATACTCCCTTTAAGGGCTCTAAAATTTCAAGAGGTTTGAGCGATTTGCTCTGCGAACCATGGAAACTATCACAAGCTGCATGATCCATAGTCTGAGCTTCTCCATTTCTCCACTTCTCGGCAACCTGGCCGCTTAGGGCATTCATGATTCAAGGATAACATTTTAGCTACTCTTTGTCCACGTACTTGCCAGAGGACGCGTTGACCGTTTGAGTCAGAGCTAGTTAACAATGTAAAGCGCCCCGCTTCCAAAGCAAGAGCTCAAATTGTTACACCCAGTTCCCAACGAATCGTACAATCCTCAAATTAAATCATAGCAAATTGGCATATATATATATATATATATATATATATATATATATAATGAATGTAACAATGATCATCACCAGGTACGGTGATTTCCAGCAAGTCGTGTTCAAAACCTTCAGCATGTCTTGAAACGGTGAAGAGCACGAACATGTTCGGAGACAGGCGTTAAGTAGTGCGACGCAATGTCCAGCGCAGTGTAAATTTTTCGTCCATACCATCTATCATGCAAAATGCCCGCTGACAAATAAATGCATCGGAACCCAAACTTGACGTCAGACACCTGCATATCAAACTGCTGTACCGTGACTCATTAGTTCTCTGCAATTGTCAGAAATTCACAGTTAGCACCCGTCGTTCGCTGATACCGATGCTCGGCGCTTGTTTGGGTTTGTTTACAATTCCTGCCTGGCGGCCAGGCGGCAGTGACATCAGCTCGTGGCCCTCATTTCCGCAATGCCGAAGTGCCAGAAGGAGCGGGCCTGGTTCTGACGCCACAACAGCCTGGGGTGGCGTCATGGTGAGCCGGGGGCCCTGCTGACGCCGGCGCCACACGGTCTGTTCTCGGACGCCGCCGCTCAGCTCGAGCTGGTGGTCTGTGGTGGCCCGAGCCGCAGCCTTTGAGGCGTACAAAGAGCAATGTTCGACAGCGACTCTTCAGATTAGTTCGCCATTATGCATGATGTTCCCTGGTCGCCACATCGATGTTGGACACTGCATTGTGCTTGAAGGTAGAAAATGACCTTTAGCCTTTTGACTCGCAATCTATCCTTCAAAGCGTGGAATATTGCCAGTTGTGCGCTTTGTCTTAGGCCGTGACACTATATGCTACAACAATGTCACGATGAAGACACGTCTGCCAAACATTCGATTCAGGCGTGCTGCAGCTCATGACAAGGTACGCTCTAAGGCCAAATTTTTCAGAATTATCGCACGATACTGGTAACACTCCAGACAAAAATGTTACCAACGAATGAGGAGAATAAGGGACAATGTTGTATATTAATAGCTGTTCAATTCTTTTCTCAGTTTGATTGCGTTCACTTTATTTTCTATCCCTCATCATTCATTTTGACGCTTCTCTCTTCAGCATTCTCAACAAGTATTTCCATAGACCAATTCTTACATCATCAGAAGCTCAGAGGCTAGTCTTAGGGCAGTGCAGTGGCTTGAGCAGTGTCGTCGCTCGACGCGATCGCGTGAGACCCCTCTCAAGCGGCGTCGCTGCCCGCTGCCGACGTGAAGTGCTCGGGCTCCGCCGGCCCGCGCGGGGCGGCGGCGGCGACTTCCCAGGCCAGCCTGCTGAGTCGGCACGCCCAGCCGCCGATCGTGCGTGCGCCAGCATACGGCGCCGGCGGCCGCCGTCACAATTAGAGCCGCCGGCGGCGGAACAGACGCCATTCTGATGACGCGGCGCGCGCCCGCGCCCGCCGCCGCCGCCGCGTGCAAATGGCGCGCAGGGGCCGCGCCAATCGACGGCCGGCGGCGGCGCGGCGCGCCCGAGAGCCTCCCCCCCCCCCCCCCGTCGCGCTGGCAGACGAGCTGGGGACCGGGGCCGCCGCCCGCGCTGCGAGATATTTAATTGTTCCGCGCCGAGTGGCGCTGTGTTCATCCGGTCGGTCTCCTGGAAAATGTTGCAGGCGAGCGGGTTGTTAGGGTATGATTTCGCTATGAGAGGGGCAGAAAACGTGCCCTGTCATCGAAAATATGTGCTGGAGATGCTTGAGACAGGATCGTTGTATGTGGTCCGTTGTTGATGTGTGGCCACTTTGGGTAAGTTCTGAATGAAATAGGTGATCACCGAAGTGAAGTGAGTCCCACCTATTGAAAGCACCTTAGGTTATCCATTGAAGCACAAAACGGAGCAACCTGGCCATTAAATTGTTGTTTTAATTACTCTGTGGCCCAGCTAACGTAGCATTTATGTACCTTTATCAGACAAGCATTGCCTCTAACCAAGAAATGGACAAGCCCGTCATACCCAGATAAGTATTTTATTCACTTATTGAACTAAGCCAAAGCTTCACGGTGCTCGGAGAGGCTGGTTTCACTTACGCAACCGGGGCAATCGGGCACAACACGCGTTCTGTGTATCTGTAGTACGGCATTTTGTACCAAAGCGAACTGGTTCTTGATTATTGGAATTACTTAAGGTTTCTGTCAAAGCGCAAGAATGGGCAGAGTTAGGTATTGGATCGTGTTGTGATCCAATTACCATGTGATGGGACTAAAATAGCCTTGGGGAATGTGTAAAACAATTACTCCTCTCCTCAAAACACAGAACCTACTTTTCTTATCCAGCTTTCGTATATTTTTTCTGGAATGCAGCCTGGTCCATGACGTTTGAAATGGCTACCCGTAGTTTCACGCATGTGGTCGCTTATTGCTGAAATGTGTCTGATTCTCACCTTTTTAAGTTATTGAAGTCAATTTCCGAAGCACACAAATGGGCAGAGTAAAATGTATCATATTACATAGGGTGGGCACAACAGAATAAAGGAGACAGGTCGTTCGTGTATTTTTCGCCGGACGGAGGAGGTCGAGGGAGGAAACTTCTTCGACAACCGAAATCCTAAGAATCATTCCGGTCAATTACGGCATGACTATTGTTATATGCCGCTCGGTTTTGATGTTGACCCAAGTGAACTTCATACTTGAAAGGCCTCGGATACCTTGTTGGAAGATTTAGAAGATGTGCGAGAAATGGCCCGGTGAACTGCGAACCCCGATAAGTGGAAAGCTTTCACCAATTAACCTAGCATTGTGTCTCAGTTGGCCGAAAACGGTATACAAGCGCTGGTGCTCAAAACGGACCTGGACATGTGTTGGAGCAAAGCAAGGTTTTCTTCCCCAAATTACTTTTATTCTTGGGTTTAACCGACGCTTCTGTATGGTCGAGGGATTAGTTTTATATAGGTGATCATGTTTCCATGGCCATCGTTGTAGCAATCCGTTCAGTGTAGTTGATCACGTGCCTGTAAAAGGCTCTTTTCAATCGCGACCATCTGGTGCGAGATCAACTCTTACCGTCACATCAAAGTGGTGAGCAAACTTTGAAATGTTCCTGTATGTAGAGTAGCAAAATAAATCCAGCGGTGATCCCAGCAAGACGGCTGACTTCTTAACTCCGCAAGGTCGACCAGAGGTCGGCGGCCGCAAATACATCAAGGGAGGCATGTGGTCCCGATTTTTCAAGTCAGGTCCCCAAATCACCACTAGCATCGCCACTTTTTGAACCTGCGTGTCCGCAAAACGCAGGGTAAGAAAATGTGCTTGGCTTTTACCGGCTTCTGTTGGTAGGGTTGGGGGCTCCACAAGTTACTTTGTGCAAATTATGAAAGAGCGAACAACAAGTAACAGCGAACAGGTTTGCATGCCCCTATACCATAAGGGACTTAAAAGTGCCAGCCCCGGCTCTGGCGATATGTTGGGATGTAGCGAATCGATATTAACAAACTGCTTTTGGAGCACTCTAGCAAGCGACAACAAATTTCCAGCCACAGCTGCTGACGCGTCTTCATGTTTGTCATCAGTGCCTCCCACCAACCACATTGGGTCTGTTTTTGTTGTTTGTTTGTTCCTTTCCAGTTCAAATTTAAAAACTTTGCCAATATGTCCGGCTTGTTTAACAAAGCTTTTCTTACGCATCTGTTACAGTTACGGGTGCAGTTTTCGCGATCAGTTAAATTTTCACGTTACTCAGATGGAGAGCGGAGTTATACGTGGAAGTTCCAATCTTTTTGAGGCTTAAGTCCAGCCCATCATATATCTATTTTCAAAACAGCGGATCATTTGATCTTAGAATTTGTGTTTCTTTGCAGTTGCGTATTGGAATAATGCCTGATCATAAAGAGCAGCCTCTGTGCTTCATTGGTAAGTTGCCTCTGTTTGCTGGAGGTAAAGGCTGTGAGGTGTAGGTGATTAAACAGGTGCCACCTGGGGAGCCTGGCAGCAAACGTGCGATCGAGGCCGTGTACTGCAAGACTGATGCTTAACACAAATCTGCTTGATGCTCCCAAAGAAGCTGAAGGTCTCTGAAGCATACGGCTGGGCTGGTGAACAGCGACGGAGGTCACAGGGTGCGGTCGTGGTAACCCATAATGATGTGAGGAATGCAGGTGCAAAAGTTCAGCAAGCCTTTCAATCTTAAGCAGGATGCTATCGATGTTTTGTTGGTGACGTTTTCCACCCGAAGTGAGCTGTACATACAGTGAATTTTCATCGGGCTGTGTTGTACACACGAGCTGCATGAGTCGGCACTGAAGGCCGTGTTCTGAACACACCGTCTCCCCCCCCCCCCTCTCTCTCTCTCTCTCTCTCTCTCTCTCTCTCTCTCTCTCTCTCCTCTCCTCTCTCTCTCTCTCCTCTCTCTCTCTCTCTCTCTCCCTCTGCCCAAGCGTGACCCCCCAGCGCGACCCCGCGACCCGCGGCTGACTGGCGCATGTCCTCCTCAGGATGACTGTACTGGCCAGCCGAGAGCACGCCTGCATCCACCCGATAGTGTCGCGCTCCGCCAACAAGAACGACGGCTGCCGAGAGCTCCGTGACCGGTACAACCAGGTGAGCCCCCCCCCCCCCCCACCGGGCTGACCGGCTGGCCGCCCCGCGTCCCACCGCAGCACTGTCCGGCGCCTGCACCGATCTCCTAGCGCATCCAGCTCGTCTGCGGCCTGGGGTTGTTGGTTGTTTGCCGTCGAAGACGTCATCGAAAACCGACGCCTTCAGTTGTCGACCTCACTGCTGGTGAACGTTGCTGTGGCCTTCAGCTGGTTTGACGCCATGTTCACTTGTTGGCGACTTTATGGGACGAGCTGTAGAGTACAACCCTTCCACTGGCTCAGGTGTGCACCTGATCGTGTCCTGCGCGTGCGCCTGCTTCACATCACGTCTGAGCCCGTGCCCCGCGTCGACCGGTACTGCTGGTGGGCTCCGGAGCGCCCCCTGTGCTCGCCGTCTCGCGCCGGCCGCGCCCCCCGCCGGCCGCTGACGGCCGGCCCGACCCGCCGCCAGGAGGGCTGCGGCTTCTTCTCGGGCGCCAGCCAGCGGCTGCACCATCCCGATCAGCTGGCGGCCTTGGGCCTGGAGGAGGCGTGGCCGCTGGAGGAGCTGGTCGCCGTCGGCCGCCGTATCCGTGCCTGCCCTTACTACGGCGCGCGCAACCTGAAGGAGGCCGCCGACATTGTGTTCTGCCCTTATAACTACCTGGTGGAGCCAGGCATCCGCGAGTCGGTGGGTGGAGCGACCCGCGGAGGGTGGGGATGTCGTGGTCTGGGGTGGAGCGGCCCGCGGAGGGTGGGGGTGCCGCGGTCTGGGGTGGAGGGATTCACGGAGGGTGGGGAAGCCGTGGTCTGGGGTGGGGGATCTACGGAGGGTGGGGATGCCGTGGTCTAGGATGGAGGGATTCACAGAGGGTGGGGAATGCTGTGGTTTTGGCTGGAGAGGTCTACGGAGGGTGGGGATGCCGTGGTCCGGGTTGGAGGGATTCACGGAGGATGGGGAAGCCATGGTCTGGGTTGGAGGGATTCACGGAGAGTGGGAATGTCGTGGTCTGAAGTGGAGGGATTCACGGAAGGTGACGATGCCGTTGTCTGGTGTTGAGCGGGGTGGTTTTGCGGCCCGGGGGACCGCCCCCTGATATGACCCAGACCTGGGTGTGCAGGTCATTGGTCAGTGCTTGATTGTTGTAGGTGAGCCGATTAGTGGCGAAGTCGGTACCAAATGTAGTTTGCGCGAGCTACATGATTTATTTATATGCAGTTTTGAAGCTGGGCAAAGTATCACTTGCGTGCGTCCTCCATTTTTTACGCAATTGACCCGCCAGTAAGCTCCTGAGCACATCGGCTGCTCCCACCGTTCACTGTTAGTCTATCCAGCTGACGGCAGACCAACACCGCGTGACTCTGCCGCCAGCTGGAGATCAACCTGCAGAACCAGGTGCTGATACTAGACGAGGCGCACAACATCGAGGACAGCTCGCGGGAGGCGGCCAGCCAGACGTTCCAGCAGGCGCACATCCAGGACGCCATCAGGGACCTGGAAAAGTGCGGCAGCGGCGGCCGCAAGACGCAGGCCGAGTGTCGGGACATGGTGAGCCGAGCGTGTCGGGACATGGCGAGCCGAACGTGTCGGGACATGGTGAGTCGAGCGTGTCGGGACATGGAGAACTGAGCGTGTCGGGACATGGTGAGCCGAGCGGCTGCACTGCCGCTGACCGCGGAGGCTGTGTCCCCGCTTTGTGGGCCGGACGTGTCCGGGTCCGGTGCGACCGCCGCTGTCGCGCGGAGGCTGTGTCGCCGCTGTGTGGGCCGGACGTGTCCGGGTCCGGTGCGACTGCCGCTGTCGCGCGGAGGCTGTGTCCCCGCTGTGTGGGCCGGACGTGTCCGGGTCCGGTGCGACCGCCGCTGACTGCGGCAGCGCCTGCGCTGCATCAGCCGCCGGACGCCGGGCACAGCTGCCCCTGGTGCCGCCGCTGGCTGGAGCGATGGCTGGCGCCGGTGTCCGTTCACGTCAAGCGGCGTTGGTGGGAACTACAGCTGACGCCGCCCTCCGCGTGTCGTGTGCGTCGGCCTTGCTCGGCTGTCTGGCGCGCCACGGGGGTGTTTTGACGGGGCGGGTCGGTGGCTGGCAGGCACGCAATGCTGTCACACATCAGCCAGGTGGATGGATCGACACTCAGACAAGCTGGACCAGTACCCGCGAGTTCGACCGGTCGTCCAAGATCCTGACAGGCACCGACATGGTGGCGCACTTCACCAGCATGGGCATCGGATACGACGCGTTCCCCGAGCTGCGAGTGAGAGGGGAGAGAGGGAGAGGGAGAGGGGGATGGAGATGGAGATGGAGATGGAGATGGAGATGGAGATGGAGATGGAGATGGAGATGGAGATGGAGAGGGAGAGAGAAGAGAGGAGAGAGAGAGAGAGAGAGAGAGGGAGAGAGAGAGAGAGAGAGAGAGAGAGAGAGAGAGAGGAGAGAGAGAGAGGGAGAGAGAGAGGGAGAGAGAGAGGAGAGAGAAAGAGGAGAGAGAGAGAGAGAGGAGAGAGAGAGAGGAGAGAGAGAGAGAGAGAGAGAGAGAGAGAGAGAGAGAGAGAGAGAGGAGAGAGAGAGAGAGAGAGAGAGAGAGAAGAGAGAGAGAGAGAGAGAGAGAGAGAGAGAAGAGAGAGAGAGAGAGAGAGAGAGAGAGAGAGAGAGAGAGAGAGAGAGAGAGATAGAGAGAGAGAAGAGAGATGCGGAGCGACGCTTATGCGCCGCCACCCGCACCCCTGATCCGTCGCTCGGCGATCAGAATGCACGAGTACCCTGACCACTCCACATGTGCTGAACCTTGTGAGCACTTGACTCTTATTGAACTCATTCCAATCCGTAGTCACGTTAGAAAAATAAGACCGTCCGGTCCGGGAGGTCTCGGTCGCCATCGGAACAAAGTGCTCGCTCCTCACAGTAGCGTGCGGCCGTGCCTAAAGGGGCTTGCGTCATGCTAGGGCGTGGCAGCAGCCGCTTGCCACTGAGGACATCTGTTCTGCTGCCTGCCCCGCGCGCAGGGCATCTTTCACGGCCCTCATGGGGGGAGAGTTGAGGCCGGCGAGGAGGCGCTGAGGCAGCAGCAGCACGTGCAGCGGCTGACCAGCGGCACCACCGCCCTGCTGGGCAGCCTGCTGCGCGAGCTGGGCTTCATCTACGGCGAGAACATGAAGCACCGCGACGACTTTCCGGATCGCGCTGGTCCGCTCCATGGCGCGTCAGCAGACGCCGAGCGCGCAGGTGCGGCGCTCCGGCCGTCTCGTGTGCGGCTGACGCTGGTGGGAAAGCAGGGGTTGTGATGGCATTACCAGCTGTTCTGTGGGGTCGTGTGGGTCGACAGTGCTTGTGGAGGTGTCTTAAAATGGTGATGTTAAAAAGTCCTGGTGAACTGGAGCGACTGTCGGATTACGCGTAAATACCGGACACCGGTATCTTGGTATGAGTGTCCAACAAACGTAGACCAGAGAACACGACACGTCTCCGCTGGCCTTCACAAAGCGCGTCTGCTGTAGTCTTGAGAAGTGCCCGTAGCCGGAGCGGCGGCGGCGGTCTCCCCGGTGACGGGCGACTCGTGGGCGCCGGCCGCCCGCTGACCGAACGCTGCTCTCCTCAGGGTGGCTGGCAGTCGGCCCGGCCGCGCGCCGCCCAGCCGGCCTGGGCGCTGGCTTTGCACTTCTGGTGCCTGAACCCGGCGGTGGTGTTCGCGCCGATCGGCCAGGCGGCGCACAGTGTCATCGTGGCGTCAGGCACGCTCTCGCCGCTCAGCTCGTTCGAGTCCGAGCTGGGCGTGCCGTTCCGGGTCAAGCTGGAGGCCAGCCACGTCATCGCGCCCGAGCAGGTGCTGCGCGGAGCTCCCGCTGTCCATGATCGGGCCCTGATGTCTGGGCATGAGGCTCGCTGTCTGGGACGAGGCCTGCAGGCTGTGGACGAGGCCCGCTGTAGGGGACGGGGCCCGCAGTCTGTGGACGAGGCCCGCTGTCGAGGGTCGGGGCCCTAATGTCTGGGGACGGGGACCGCTGTCTGGGACGGGGTCCGCTGTCTGGTGATGGGGCCTGCGGTCTGGGCAAAGGGCCTGCGTTCTAGGCCCAGCTAGGTACCACGGACTCTGGTGTCCGCGCTGCCAATGTCTTGTGTCCGTCCTACAGCGACGCCGCCCCTCCTCAACTTCTGTCAGCATGGCATCGGCCTATCCAGTGTATATTTCTACGCGGCACTCGTTTTCATTGTGTCTATCCTAGTGTGACGCTTGCCTTTTGGTGTTGGAACTCTGTATTTCCCTCCCACGTCGTGTCTTCGTGCACATCGACCCCCCCCCCCCCCCCCATCATGTGTATGTGTGCGGCGACCGTCGTCCACGGGCCGCAGGGCTCCCTCTGCTCTCGATCTCCGTGTGACGCCCCCCCCCCCCCCCCTCTCCCGCCCGTCAGGTGTACGTGGCAGCCATCAGCCACGGGCCGCAGGGCGGCTCGATGAACGCCACGTACCGAAGCTCGGAGCAGTTCAGCTTCCAGGACGAGCTGGGCGGGCTGGTGCTCGGCGTGTGCGCCGCTATCCCCAACGGCGTGCTCTGCTTCTTCCCCTCGTACTCCATGCTCGACAAGCTGGCCAGGAGGTGTGTGATGTGCGAGCCGGGAGCCTCTCGACGCGAGGCTCGGCTGAAGGGAAGCGTTCGAAAGGCTCGGTTCGAAGCGATGGCCCGGCTCAGGCGACGTTCAGTATGTTGCATTGCGCGGGCTGGTGGATCGCACGCTGTGAGAGGCTTCTGCCAGCGTCGAGCCATATCGTCGCTATTGCGTCGCCTCATTTTATCTGGACTTTTTGTGAAAGTAAGGATATGTTTTCCCGATATCGCTAAATGGCGATTGTACCTGAGCACGTAATGGAAAAAAGTGACCAGGGTGCTTCGCATTCGGCCATTTGCATGGTCTCCTTTTCCTGGCACCGGCGACCCCTGACACCACTGGTTACCGGCTGTGTTCACAGATGGCGCGCGACAGGGCTGTGGGAGCGGCTGGAGGCGCGCAAGCCGGTGCTGTGCGAGCCGCGACGCTCTGGCGATTTCAGTGAGATGATGCGCGAGTTCCGGCACCTGGTGGACGGCGACGAGGCCGGCGCCCTGCTGCTCGCCGTCTGCCGCGGCAAACTCAGCGAGGGCATCGACTTCTCCGACGATAGCGCGCGCGCCGTCATCACAGTACGGGTCACGTCCAACGATCCGTCCGGTTCTCATTCACGGCTTCACCCGCAATCCTCTGAGCGCTCCGTCCCGCCGGACATGCTGCGGTTGTCAGTCAGGAGACGGCTTCCTGGCCGAACTGGCGGGAGTGCCGCCCGGCCTGCCACTCCCACCCCCAATGGAGGGGCCCTGGGCGGGGCGAGGATAGCCAGCAGAGATATCCCGAGACGACCGTAGCGCTCCAGGCCGTGCCACGACAGCCCACGGCTCACCTCTCCTCCGTCCCATAGCTCTGCAATGGTCGTTGCCGTCCAAAAGAGCTGTACTCCAGCCGAAGTCCAAACGAACCAAAAGCCCGTGCAGCATGCTGCTGGGCCGCCTGGCGTGGTGTTAGCTCACGCCTCAGCTCGCTGGCGGCTGTGACCGCAGTCGGTCACTCATGCGTCCGTCAGCGGGCTGTCTGAAGTGCGTCTGTGCTGGCTTACAATGCGCTGGACTGATGCCTTCAGCGCTCCTTGTGGGGCGGAGACACGCCGTCTAGATGACACGGCAGTCAAGCACCGCCAAAAACTCACGTCACCTCTTCCGTTTTAACACGAGACCGGCCCAAGCAGTCAACCATTTGACACTCGGCGATAGCATCGGTTTTGGGATGTGGGCACATACTGTATAAGGCGTAGACTGTATAAACCTGGTGTGGATGCACTTTACATGCCCACTTGCCATTATGGGAGTCCTTTGCTCTCAGTATAGTCGGCGGAGGGGACTTCCGCGGCTGCGCCACTGTCTGCGAGCTTGCCACCCACCGCTGTGGTCCCGTGTGTACAGGTGGGCATCCCGTACCCGAACGTGAAGGACATCCAGGTGGACCTGAAGAAGCTGTACAACACGGCGCACGCCTCAAGCCGCGGCCTGCTCAGCGGTCACGAGTGGTACGGCATCCAGGCCTACAGGTGGGTTAGCGGAGAGCGGCCGGGGCACGGCTCGGGCGGGGCCTGGAGCTCGCACCCGCCACAGAGAACCCGCTCGAGTATGGCAACGTGGAGCGGCCGGAGCACGGCTGGGGCGGAACCTGGAGCTCACACCCGCCACAGAGAACCCGCTCGAGTATGGCTTGCCAGTCTGTCGCTGTTTGCTGTCGCGCCCGAGTCGCATCGCGTCCGTCCTCTACTGTCTCTGACCGTACCACACGGTTGGCTCGCCACTGGCCTGGCTGTGGGCCGCCCGTGTCTCGTGTTCACCACGAAGCGTTGACCCGCCGACCCGCGCCTCTGGCGGCAGGGCGCTGAACCAGGCGCTGGGCCGCTGCATCCGGCACCGGTACGACTGGGGCGCCATCTTGCTGGTGGACGACCGGTTCGGGCGGCCCGCGCGGCCTGGACGGCCTGTCGCGCTGGCCTGCGCAGTCTGGTGCGCCAGCCGGCCGACTGGCTGACCGTCGCTGGCGCGCTGCGTCAGTTCGCCGCCGACATGAAGCTCTGGTCCGAGGAGCAGCGCCGCCAGCGCCAAGCCGAGTGCGTGACGGCGGACCCGGCGCCGGGCCTGGGCCGGTTGGCTCGGAGTGCGCGGCGTGCGGGGGAGCGGGGAGCGGGACCAGACCTGGCATCCGGGAGAGGTGCAAGTTCAGTGTCTCGGCATAGGAGGTGCCCGGTGGGATAAGGAGGAGCGGGCGGTCTGAGGTGGTCTGGTGACCGCATGGGGGATGACGTTGTGGGAGAGGTCGTGGGGATGTGACGAACTCTGCCGCCGTCCCGGGTCTGACGCAGCCCGTGCGCTGTACATGGGTCCTGTACGGCGTTCCCGTATTGGCAGACGCGTGTCGGATATGACCGATCGACCACAGACTGGACTGACCAGCCATGAACAGTGCACACAGTACTGACCTAGCGATATCTCAATAATATGCGTTTCATTTGTTTCCCGAGTTACCTTTGACCTAGTCCCTGCTGGGTTCAGGTGTGACATTATGTAACGGTAAGAAACAATGACTGTTTGATAATTGACTGTTAATGACTGTTTAATAATGTGTTGGTTGCATGTATGATTTGATTGTTGCACCCTTTGGCTTGGCTGTTTGTGTCGTGGCGGATCACGTTCGCTTACGCACGCTTTTCGTCTGTTTTTCCAGTGCGACTGAAGCGGCCAGTCTGGTTGCCTCTCGCGGCTGTTGTTGACGCAGAATGTCCAAAGCCATTCGCCGCCTCTATCGCCACGCCACCGATGTCGCCCGCCAGTGACCGTTCGCCGGGCCCGACATCTGTCGTCGGGATCGGGCAGTTCCAGTATACCAGTCCGCGACCAGGTGGTGCTAAGGCGGCCAGCAAGTGCTGTGTTTACCGGTTGTCGAAGGCTCCGCGAGTGCCGGGCGCTCCTAGCCAGGAGATCGTGACAGTGAACGGGGCACGCTTTTTGCGCCTCACAGGACCAGGGGCAATCACGGCTAGTACCGCTTCTGACACCGCACGGTGTGTCCCGCGGCCGCCGTGTTGGAGACTGGACCGGCCTCTCCGGCGACTGGTGACGGTGCCGACCAAGAAATGACATTGCCGTCGGCAGAGAAGCGGCCCCCGCCGTTCCAGCTCGAGCCCGGGAGAGCCCGCCCCGGAGGACGCTGCGCGGGCTCCCTCCCCGGTCCTTTTTGGAGACGGGGAAGGCGCAAACAACACGAACGCGGTCCAACCAGTTTGTAAGATTATGGTCACCTTCCCGGGGAATCTGCGGATGACACCGCACTGTAATGCATGCCGGATTTGCCTTCCCCGTGGGCTGGCTCACCAGCTTGTGGCTTACGTTCTCGCCTGCTTGCCGGCATGTGACTTCGCTGGTTTCCTTCTTCAGGTGTCTCATAGTTCCAAAGCGAGCAGCGTTTCGGTTACGTGCTGAAACAATCCTCTGAGCTGCAGTTGCCAGCTATCGGCATCACGTGGGGTGCGTCCGCCGACCACGTTCGGCTGCCCCGTTCACAGCAGCTTCTTGACCCGACCTGTCTTCTGGTGCCCGTCGTGCCGCTACACGGCCGCGCTCCCACCGCGGCCCCCGCCCCCTCCCGCCTGGAAGGGCGCCGCTCCCGCTGACACGGCTCTCCGTTACAGCCGGCAGGCGGCCCATGTTCCGGCCGGGGCGGCTCGCTGACCGCCGGGCGCAGGTAAGCCACCCTCCTCCCTCCCGGGAGATCACTACAGGGGGCGTCGTGTCCAGTGTACGGTGGTTCGGTGACGAGGCGGGACGGTGCGGCCGTTCTCTGGCCTGGTGACCTGATGACGATGGGTGGAGAGTTGTGATGAATTCGGCATGCGTGTATGTTGCCTTTTGTGAGTGGGTTGCATGCAGTCGAATGGGGTCATCAGTACAGTGTGCTCAGGTGCAGACAGACCTGGGGCAGTACGTACCGAGCGTCGTACCGCGGTCTGCCTCGACGCACGGGGCGGGGGCACTGTAGGCGGGCTACTGTGACCATTCCACGCCCCTCTTCTCAGGCGGAGACCCAATCACCGGAGGTGGTCAGGAAGACGCTGTTGACAGCCGGGTGCACCGCGCGTGCTCGGCAGGCGACCCGGCGCACCAGGGGCGTCATCTTCAATCAGCTCTGATGAAGAGGACTAGCTGCCGCGGGCGCGGAGCTCGCGCCGCCACGGACGGCAGGCGCGTGGCTGGGAGCGGCACGGTAGGCTGCCGTCGACGGGCAGGCCAGAGCTGCAGTTGCCGGCGACGTGTGCTGCTCTGGACAGAAAATACAGTGAGGGATCTGAAATGTTTTGTTTTTTTACCAGAACATCTTGTAATTGCGACGAATTTGATACACAAATCCACTCATCTCAGTGGCCGCGATGAACTGTGGGTAACTTGAATGGAACGGGTGCTTGGCATATATAAATGTGTTTGGTACTGTTAGTAATGTGGTGCCAAGTACCTCAAGCAAGTCGTTTAGGGAATAATAACTGGTACTGTGGAAAATATGTATCTGCTTACATCTAGAACGATGCATCGCAGCACCGCAACGCCGCACATGCTGCACCGGAACGCTGTAACGTTGCAGGTCCCAAAGTGATATCTGCAACACTAGATCACAGTTTTATTTCGTTAGTGATCGTTCAGCTTGGAAACTCAGTGGTGTGTGATCAGGCAGATTTTTCGAGTTCTCAGGCGAAGCGAGTTCATCAGGCGGCCTGGATCAGTGTGATTGTCGGACTTTCCTTGCTCGGTTGGGGATATTTGTAAAACTCTGTCCGTGCAAACTGGCGACACGATGCCAGTTGGGGGGGGGGGGGGGGGCATTTTACCTGATCAGCCATCCCAGATAATATTGCAACACTGAGTTTGCTTTCAAGCTTTGGAACAAAATAACCCTGGTGACCGATGCCGGTGTTAGGGTGGTATTCGATAGCCTTGTATTATTGTTAAAAGATGCACACCCTCCCAGATCCCACCCAACCTCAGCGCTCGAAGGTTCACGTTTTTAAAACGGCCTCATTTTCTTGATAGAATTTCCCCGTGCGTTGTGACTACTGGTGGCCGATGCAACACGACATGAAAATGTTTCTTTACCACCAGCTTTGCATGCAAGTGCTGAAAGCCACTGTCAAGTGCGGACTGTGGGCACGCTGTCAGCACTGTTCCTTTTTTTCAATAAGCGTAGCGCAACGGGTCCCCTTTCAGTAAGGTGAGCGGCACATCAACAGGGACGGCGCATGGCTTTGGTGTTCGGGGGGGGGGGGGGGGGGGCAAGACTTCCCAGGCGTCCTAGGCAACGTGGGGTC